TTTTCCAACCACTCTAATGTCTTTTTCAGAACTAAAGAGGAATGAGATGTATATTGTTGACAAAACCCTCTTATGTGCGCTTTCCCACCATTGAATGACACTTTCATAAATACACTTTTCACTTTTCCAGGCTTCCCAAAAAAAATTAAAATTCTCACAAAAATGTTTATCATCCAAAAGTTTAACATTAAAATGCCAGTAATAACTCATATGCTTTCTTTCAGTTAGTATATAATAAATTGTGATAAGTTTATGATCAGAAAGAACAGTTGGGGTGATAGCTGTATTAACAATCTTATTTCTCAGATTGTGTGATATATAAAACCTATCCAAACGTGCACCAGAAACGCTTCCATTGCTGACTTTCATCCATGTATACTGCCGTACTGATGAATTATGCTCTCTCCATACATCTGAGAAGTTAACATTTTTTATAATATTAAAATAGCTGAATAGCTGACTTTGCATGAGGTTCTTCTCCAGTCCTATCTTGTGTAAAGTCTAAAGTGCAGTTCCAATCTTACAATAACATAATCTCCCTGGTACCACTTCATGTTTTGATAAAATCTTTGTTTTAAGAACAGAGGAAAAGAGCACAGCCACTCCTGCACTTAAATTAGTCCCATGACTAAGAATTCTTGCTCCTTCCCACCACAAGCCCCAATCAATCTCATTATTTTGATTGCTATGGGTTTCTTGCAAAAAAAACCAACAACACTCAGATCTTTCAATCGTATTATTTCTGATAATAAACAAATTTTCCTCCCATCCCTCATTCCATTTACATTAATTGATCCCACCCGCAAAATCTCCATAAGCAAAGGGAAAAGGAAAAAAACAGAAAGAAAAGGAAACGTTAAAAGCCATTAAGATTATTTAGTTTTCCCCCTCGCTTTCCCTGTCTTTTTGCCTGGTCTAAGACCAGTTTTATCGTTTTTTTTAGGCGATACCGCTTCTGTTCGATACCGCTTCTGTTGTGAGAGCTCCTCATAACTACTCACCTTCCTAGCCCACATCACCGAAGCCATAAATTTGTCCATATCAGGAAAGTAATTACTTACTTCAACACCAGTTTTACCTTTAGTTTTATCAAGAAATGCATTAATTTCTTCAACAGTATACAAATCTTTATCAGCTCCTCTTGAGCCCTCTGTGCGCTGTTCATCATCTCCTAACCCATCATCCGTACACTGGGATAAACTATCCATCTCATCAACCATATTTTCCTCTAAGCTTTCAGCCTGTGCCACATCATCAACTTCACACACATATTCCACATCACTCTGGGCCTCACTCTTATCACTATCATCTGTCACATCTCCATGTTTATCAGAGACAGAACTACATCCAGCTTGCTCCACACTCATAGCATGTAAATTAATCTCACTCACCTCCTGCATCTTGCCCTTCTCTGTAGACCCTTCATCCTGCTCCTCAGTTCTCTGTTCTTCACTTTCACGCGTTTGCTGATCGGTATTATTTACATCACCACGAGATGTAGACGCACGTTGGTCATCTTTATGTGGACATGCGAAGCGTTTATGGCCCAAGTCTCCACATTCATAACACTTCAGGCTCTCAGAGCTGGCGTAAACCATGTATGAATTCTCCCCGTGATTAACACGGAAAGAGACTTCTAAAGTACGCTCCTGGGAGTTCAAAAACATAAAAACTTGGCGTCTAAAGGAAAGAACGTGCTTAAGCGCATTGTTTTTACATCCAAGCGGAATCATTCTTACATGGCTTGCAATCTTTCCAAACCTCTGCAGTTCTTTCGTGATGGTCTCGTTGGATATAAACGGCGGAACATTTGAAATGATGATTTTCGTTGCTGGAGCGGATAGCGGGGTTACCGTAACAAACGCTTCCTTCACCCACATTCCGCTCACAGTCAACTGATTAACAGGCGAGTCTGATTTTAAAAACACGACGACAGCCTTATTCATCCGTGAAGCCAAAATTATGTTTTCAAAACCCACTTGCTCTCCTATAACTAAGAGCAGCTCCTCCACCGTCACTCCGGCCTCCGGTACACACTTGCACCCATTCCGGAGTGACAGCGTTGGCGTTCCTTGCACGGGAACAGACGCCATTCCGGCGTCTGAAAGCCGTGCAAACAAAGCAATACAACTTGTTTTCTACTATTTATAAAACTAACTAGCGAGGGGAAAAAGAAAAGTTGGAAAAAAAGTTTGAAAACAAAGTTTTCCACAATCACTCTCACCAACGCGCTCAACTCCCACACACCCCCAGCATGCACTCCGAGAGAGAGAGAGAGAGAGAGAGAGAGAGAGAACTACATAATTCCCACTCACACATTTAAGAAATGTACCACCTTGTTTCCCATTCTGACATTATTAATTATTAAGTATTAATTATGATGATGGTTATTATTGCCCACTCAATTTGTACGTTTATTGTTAGAAAAAAAATCACACAAATCCATGTCTTACTGTAAAAATAACAGCACATGGGCTTGTGCGTTGAATTTAGCAATGCGTTACTCAACCAAACGATGGCAGAAAAAAATATTTCTAATGACAGGCTGCAAGGTGCATTCCAGACTGCAATGAGTTAGTCTCCAATAGATGGAAGCAAAACACTCATTCCAGAAACGAGCTGATAAAGGTCTTGTGGATCTTGTGTTTGTGTTAAGATAGGAGAGAGCGTATCAATATTAAAGTACATGGGTTTGTGCGTTGAATGTAGCAATGTGTTACTCAACCACAAGATGACAGCAAAAAACTATTTATTTTAATGACTGGCCGCAAGGTGCATTTCATATTGCAATGCGTTAGTTCTCCAATAGATGACAGCAAAACACTTATTCCAGAAACGAGCTAAGTGTCTTGTTCTCGTGTTACAGTAGAGAGCGTCTCGATGTTGAAGGCTTACTGGAACAGAAATAATTCTGTTTTTCTTATAATAAAATTCTTAATGACTTTATTTCTGGCCAAACAGACATTTTTATTGTAGTAAATTGTTTTGGTTAAAAATCCTGAAATTAGACAAAGCAACATAATAGTGCTTCATAATAGATTGAGGTCTGAGAGACGAGAGATACTGAGAATTTAAGTTTTATTAACAACAATTGTAGGTGACAAACTGTTCATTGATCAACAATAAATTAAGAGGAGGCATATTAAATACCAGCATAATGACAATCTCAACTCTTTTTTAAAGTCATTAAAGAAAAAAAAAAGACTGCAGTAGGGAAAAAAATATCACCTAAATACAACATGGTCAGTGCTCTCAGAAGAATACATGTTACAAACCATCTCTTCTGTGTTTGTGCACTTTACTATTCTTGTAGGGGTTTTTACTGTCCAAAGCAGAACTTCACAGAGGCTCCTTCTTCATTCCCTACCTCCAGACTAGTTCAAGTTTTTACCAGTTCCACCAACATCTGTCCATAAGCACTGAACCAGCAGAAAATTCCAGCTCAAAATCAGATCAGACGTCCACAGATGAAATAATCAGCACATGTTCCAGCAGCCGATCACGTCCCGGAGGCTCGTAGACCCTGTTTCTGCATGACATTCCAGAGTTTGTGGAGGTTGGACTGAGTGATGAAGTCGTCTGGTTTGAGCTGCAGCGCACGGAGGTAGTTGCTCTCAGCTTCCTTCAGCTTCCCATTAAGATGGAGGATCGCCCCGAGATTCATCAGAGCTGCTGGATGCTGGGAAATCGAGAAACAGATAATCAGGATAAGGATGGCTAAAAATAAATAAAACAGTAGAGGCAACAAATATGATGGAAGACGGTGCTTTAATCTTAAAGAATATCATAAAATGAGATGTTTGTTATTAAATAATGCATGTAAAAATCATTAATTCTGCTAGGTAACGTTATAACATCTAATAGAATGACTAAAGTATGTGCTTACATCAGGTCTTAAATCTGCTGCCTTCCCATAATACCTTTCAGCAGCCTCATTCAGACTGGCCTGTCTGTGGACAAACACACACAATAAATTATTATTATTATTATTATTATTATTAGCAACAACAAGTGTTTAACGATATAAAATGTCATTATGTCCATGTATTTATTTGTCAAGTGGCTATGGATGTGGATGATGAAACAAGTGGAGTCCACCTGCAAACCACCTGAAACTAAACTCTGCAGATGTAGCTGTAAGTCTTTGAGAGAGAGAGACACACACACACACACACACACACACACACACACACACACACACACACACACA